ACCAGGAGTGATCAGCATCACAGTTTGATTTTCACTAGATCAAGGTGGAGCTATGCCCTGGCCTTTGGTCAAGGGCAATTCCAAATTATTCTGTGGTATTTGAAATATATAAAATTTTCTAGTTACAGAAAACAAAACCCTGTTCCCATTTACTGACAGAAAACTGAATGAAAATCAACTAAAAATCATGCTAACTGGGAGCTAGAGTTCGAACTTGGACGATTGGCTACAACAGAGAAATATCTATAATGCGAAAAGCTTACAAGAAATTCCATTCGCCAACTGAACAATGTGTTTTGATATTTTGGGTTGCGAAGAAATGTAAGGTGTGGTTTTTCGACCAGCAGTGTTCAGCATCACAGTTTGATTTCCACTAGATCAAGGTGGAGCTATGCCCTGGCCTTTGGTCAAGGGCAATTCCAAATTATTCTGCGGTATTTGCAATGCATAAAATTTTCTAGTTACAGAAAACAAAACCCTGTTCCCATTTACTGACAGAAAACTGAATGAAAAGCAACTAAAAATCATGCTAGCTGGGAGCTAGAGTTCGAACTTGGACGATTGGCTACAACAGAGAAATATCTATAATGCGAAAACCTTACAAGAAATTCCATTCGCCAACTGAACAATGTGTTTTGATATTTTGGGTTGCGAAGAAATGTAAGGTGTGATTTTTCGACCAGCAGTGATCAGCATCACAGTTCGATTTTCACTAGATCAAGGTGGAGCTATGCCCTGGCCTTTGGTCAAGGGCAATTCCAAATTATTCTATGGTATTTGCAATATATAAAATTTTCTAGTTACAGAAAACAAAACCCTGTTCCCATTTACTGACAGAAAACTGAATGAAAATCAAATAAAAATCATGCTAACTGGGAGCTAGAGTTCGAACTTGGAAGATTGGCTACAACAGAGACATATCTATAATGCGAAAAGCTTACAAGAAATTCCATTCGCCAACTGAACAATGTGTTTTAATATTTTGGGTTGCGAAGAAATGTAAGGTGTGATTTTTCGACCAGCAGTGATCAGCATCACAGTTTGAATTTCAGTAGATCAAGGTGGAGCTATGCCCTGGCCTTTGATCAAGGGCAATTCCAAATTATTCTGTGGTATTTGCAATATATAAAATTTTCTAGTTACAGAAAACAAATCCCTGTTCCCATTTACTGACAGAAAACTGAATGAAAGGCAACTAAAAATCATGCTAACTGGGAGCTAGAGTTCGAACTTGGACGATTGGCTGCAACAGAGAAATATCTATAATGCGAAAAGCTTACAAGAAATTCCATTCGCCAACTGAACAATGTATTTTAATATTTTGGGTTGCGAAGAAATGTAAGGTGTGATTTTTCGACCAGCAGTGATCAGCATCACAGTTTGATTTCCACTAGATCAAGGTGGAGCTATGCCCTGGCCTTTGGTCAAGGGCAATTCCAAATTATTCTGTGGTATTTGCAATATATAAAATTTTCTAGTTACAGAAAACAAAACCCTGTTCCCATTTACTGACAGAAAACTGAATGAAAATCAAATAAAAATCATGCTAACTGGGAGCTAGAGTTCGAACTTGGACGATTGGCTACAACAGAGAAATATCTATAATGCGAAAAGCTTACAAGAAATTCCATTCGCCAACTGAACAATGTGTTTTGATATTTTGGGTTGCGAAGAAATGTAAGGTGTGATTTTTCGACCAGCAGTGATCAGCATCACAGTTTGATTTCCACTAGATCAAGGTGGAGCTATGCCCTGGGCTTTGGTCAAGGGCAATTCCAAATTATTCTGTGGTATTTGCAATGTATAAAATTTTCTAGTTACAGAAAACAAAACCCTGTTCCCATTTACTGACAGAAAACTGAATGAAAGGCAACTAAAAATCATGCTAACTGGGAGCTAGATTTCGAACTTGGACGATTGGCTACCACAGAGAAATATCTATAATGCAAAAAGCTTACAAGAAATTCCATTCGCCAACTGAACAATGTGTTTTGATATTTTGGGTTGCGAAGAAATGTAAGGTGTGATTTTTCGACCAGCAGTGATCAGCATCACAGTTTGATTTCCACTAGATCAAGGTGGAGCTATGCCCTGGCCTTTGGTCAAGGGCAATTCCAAATTATTCTGTGGTATTTGCAATGTATAAAATTTTCTAGTTACAGAAAACAAAACCCTGTTCCCATTTACTGACAGAAAACTGAATGAAAAGCAACTAAAAATCATGCTAACTGGGAGCTAGAGTTCGAACTTAGACGATTGGCTACAACAGAGAAATATCTATAATGCGAAAAGTATACAAGAAATTCCATTCGCCAACTGAACAATGTGTTTTGATATTTTGGGTTGCGAAGAAATGTAAGGTGTGATTTTTCGACCAGCAGTGATCAGCATCACAGTTTGATTTCCACTAGATCAAGGTGGAGCTATGCCCTGGCCTTTGGTCAAGGGCACCTCCAAATTATTCTGTGGTATTTGCAATATATAAAATTTCATGGATATTTTCAATTCCAGGATAATTACGTCATTTAAAACTTGAAGGAGAGATTGTAAGAAACGATTGGTGTATATTAGGGAACTTCCTGTTCTCTAATATACACCAATCGAACAGCAGTGTCCACCTTGGAGGCCCATGAAATTGATCAAGAAAAAACGCGTTAAGAACACAGTCCCTTTGCCGGGTTTCCGTTGATTCACTCAGAAAGTGTATAAAATGACCTTTTTTTGTTCGAGAAATGCCCAGAGCGTAAGACGCATCGCTCGTCGGAGAAGCTGTTCTTCTTTTTCCTTCTTTAATAATGCTGTAATATTAACTTTTAATTAACCCAAAAAGCCTATGTTAAGTTATAAGGTATTTCTCCCACTTTCCTAGCGTCCTTCGTTGTGTAGTGATTCTGCACGCTGGGCCGGTATTCCAGAGGTCCGTGGTTCGATTCAAGGCGAAGGCGTTTGCAATTTTTCATCTTTTCTGCCTCTAAAAGAATCATAATGACTCTACAAGGGGCGCCCGAACTAAAAGGGTTGTGGATGATGATTCTCCGCACCCAGGATTTGGCGACTAGGTCCCCTAAAACCATAGTCGCCCTTTAAAAAGGGGAGTAGATAAGGTATTTCTCCCACTTCTGTATCGTGCCTTCGTGGTGTAGTCGTTCTGCACGCTGGGCCGGTATTCCAGATATCCGTGGTTCGATTCCCGGCGAAGGCGTTTACTATTTTTCATCTTTTCTGCCTCTAAAAACATCCTAATGACTCTACAAAGTTTTTAAGTAAATTTTAAAAAGACAATCGATCTTAATTTTTTCGTCCCGAACGCTGGGCGACGTTACAGGGTCCGTAACAGATTTTTCCGGGCCTCCGGTTTTCAATATCCTGCATGCTGAGCAGTCAAGGCTTTAATCTCTTTTCTCTAAACATATCTTCTTTTAATTTTAATCTGAAATTTGTAGCCTAGTTTCGCCGCTGGGTATTAAAGCTCATTGGCAGGGTATTATAACAGCTACAACCAATCAATCGTTCATACAATCTTTTAGGATTATGCTGCAAATTTTATTAAGAGAAGAAGGAAAATAAACCTATGTTGAGTCTGGGAATAATTGTTGGAAAATAGCTGCTAATTCTTTATAATCAATCGGAACGAAAGAAATTGAATTTCTGTCTGTCTGTCTCTTCTTTTCCAAATCTTAAGGAAAAGGCGCGCAAGTGCAATGGCATGAAAACCTTTTGAAGGTGAATTTGTTTTAATTCCCCCCTTCTTCTTGTGTTTGTGCGTGTGTGTCTGTGAGAGGGAGAGAGATGAGGTGAAAATTTTTAAGCTGAACAAAAAGGCCTTTCTTTCTCTTTGTGTATAATAAGATGAAAATATTTTAAGCTTACGATATTAGATACGACTTTAGAACTGCATTGCAAGTTTGTTTGTATTATATGATTTTTTACTGTTAATTAATGGCGCTTTTTACGTGTACTACTCTTCGTTTACTCCATAAATCATTGCTTAGACAAGACGAGTGCTCCTTTTCGACTAAGAGCGTGATGATGCTGTGCTAGTTCCTTCTCCGTGTAGCTTGTTTTGTTTTGCAGCATATGTCCTTGATTTAGTTCTAGCTTTGTCCTTGATTTAGAACAACAGGAGGAATGAGAAGCATTTTGAAACTCTCGAAATGTCACCTTCGTATACTGATGCGCGGGTAATTTTTTAGTGAGCGATGTTTGTAAAGCTGCGTCAAGATGTTATCAATGTATAAACAACCAATGAATGGCAATGAATGGGAAAATTTTTAAAATATCTAAAACAAAATCTCTTCTTGCTCCTTTAATGAATTTATAAGGTCCAGCCTTCTAATCATGCTTTCGTGGTGTAGTGGTCAGTACACTCGGCGCGCATTCTAAAGGTCCGTGGTTCGAGTTCCGGCGACGGCATTGCTCATTTTTCATATCTCTGGCATAAAAATAACCTAATATATCTACAGTGCGTCCGAACTAAAAAAAAGGTGGTGGATGATGATGTTTCTCCACCGCCAGGATTTGGCGATTGGGTCCCCTAATCTCCGTGGCTCTTTAAAAAGGGGAGTATATAAGGTATTTCTCCCTCCTCCTTAGCATGCCTTCGTGGTGTAGTAGTCAGCACACTCGGCGCGTATTCGAGAGGTCGTGGTTCAAGTCCCTGTGAGAGCATTGCTCCTTTTTTATGTCTTCTATTTCGAAATAACCAAATGTCGCTGCAAGTTTATTTAATTAATATAACAGGAAATGAAAAAGAAGTATTGAACGCTGACAAGTAGACTTCTAGAGAACACTCGACATTTCTGGAGCGAGAAACGTAAGAAGATCAAATGTCGAACCAATAGTCGAACTCCCTTAGAACTCCCCAAACTGACGCCAGGAGGGCACGGTGGGGAAATGCAGTACTTACTTATTAACTGACGTTTGCTTTTTATTGTGATATTACTTGATTAAAAATTGAAATAATTTATAAAATATAAATTTGTATTTATCTTCTTTCCTAGGAATGGCTGTGCAAACTTCTTATGTGTATTAAAATGTATGCAGCAATGGCTAGTATAAACTGGATGTTCGTAGAAGGGTTGTTGCTTCATAGTCGGATCACTGTGTCCGTGTTCCAACAGGATGCTCCTTTCAAACTCTATTATCTCATTGGTTGGGGTAAGTAGAAATAATTTTATTACTGAGTGTCAAGTTTAACCTATCAACTTTTGCTGAGTGAATTCAACTAAAATAATTTTTATTTGAGGCAATAAACCTCATGAAAATATTAATAAATGATGAGTATGCTATTATTTTGCTTTTTAGCGATATATATATTTAACTCCAATGCCAAAATTTTCAGCCAATTTAAACTTTACAGCACTTAAACACTCAGAGGAAAAAGGAAAAAGGCCATCACAGTAAAAATTTCTTTCCTACTATAGATAAACCAAAATTAAAGGCACAATTGCAAAATTTATTTAATTCTGCTTTTTTTCAAAAAACCCTTAATTGGTTACATTCATGCAAGCAGCAAGTTCGTTCTACTACTTGAAAATTACTTTATTTCAGAATGCACAGATATAGAAATTATTAAAGACGAAGTTCTAGATTATTGCAAATTCAGACTTTGTAACACCTAACACTAAATTCAGACTTTCTAACACTCACCTCCAAATTTACCTAAAAATTAATTTTCTACACTTACAATTTGAAAAATTAAATTTCTGTTACGTTCTCAAGCACTGCAAAATTTTCTTCCCGGAAGCTGATACCAAACCATTAACAGCATTTAACTTTAAAAAAAAACCTAAGCAGTTTGCTTACTAATCACCATGAACTAAATGGAGCAACAAATATTGCAAATTTCCACAATTCCTTTCTTACGTTTGTTCTCACCACCAACACATAATAACAGGAAACTTGGATATCATTGAAAACTTACAACTTAAAGCGCTAATGAAACATGGAATAAAATTCAGACCTATCAGATACGTCAATAATAGTTTTTGCCACAAAAATATGTAAAATAGCATCAACAAATTTATGGTCAAAATTTTAGCATTCGACTTAGTTTACTTAATACTGCTCCTTTGAAATGAAAAGATGAAGTACTTCAACAAATTAACACTAAAATTAAATTTTTAAATTTTAACAATACTTTAAATTGGCCTAAACTTTTATATAGTATTAAAAAGCAATTAACGATCTCTAAATTATATAAAGCAAATAATAATTTTAGCATCATTTGAAAAATTTACTACAAACAAATTCTTCACACAGAACTTTACAACGTTAATACTTACCAACTAACTAACACAACTGAGACCTCAATCATAAACAAAATTAATGCATTTCTATAATACCCAAATATAACAGATTCGCTAAGCTTTATGCTTTGCTATTTCATGAAACACCAATTAAATTCAGATGCATAGCAAATTGCACTAATAATGACAAAAGAAATATAGATTTATGTTTTGCATAAAAATATATGAAGATTATGAAGATGAACATTTTTCTGTAAATCCAACGCAGCCCGATACTGCTAGCATAGCTTCATATTCCTGACAATAAAACACTAATGCAACAAAGATTGTAAACAGAGAAATTATGCATGAAACGCCTCATAGAAATAAAAAGAGCCTGATCCTTAAAATATGTTTTACAGAATTGCCTACGAAAGATAAAAGAAAAATACACCTTGTTAATTTAATTTAGAAAACCAGACAAAATATCTTTTATTGTGAGAATTGCTATGAATCAGGTAACACATAATAAATGTTTTAAAAAATGCTTTCCATTAAGATATATATTACTTACGAGGTCCGGTCAAATATAAATTATTCGTTTTTCTAGCAAAATTTATGTTTATAAAAAGATGTATATCTTATATATCCCTTTGTTATATATTATTCTACTTTTAAAGTACATTTTCCCTAAAGTTTTGGTAATTTTTCATTCCGTTCTTTCAGAATGTAGTTGTGTGGGTATCTAACCATTTGCGCACGAATGTTTCAACTTGATCTTCAGTCTCAAATCGTTAGCTCCAAAAGCATCTCTAAAGAGTGCAAATGTTTGAAAATCCAGAGTAGTGTCTCGCCTTAGGCAAGGAACTTCTAAGATTAAAACGAACTTTTCGCCAAAGCCGAAGTGGCTCGGTCAGATCGCAGAGGAAACATATACACACGAAGTTTACTTTATAGAGACCATCCACGTTTGTTAAGAGTTCAAAATTCCTGCCTTTCTTTCGCTGTACTAACATAAATCAAATGATTTATTAATCGATTGCTTGTTTTGAGTAACAAAATCTACGAAAATCTGAAGTTAAAATGTTATCAAAGAACGAATCCTCTAAGTTCTTTAAGTTTGTACCGTATTCCTCAGTTTCCTGTTCACCTGGAGATTTAGCGACGAGAATTGTCCCTCCACGATTTAGCGGCGCTGTAGTCCGACTGGTTTACATTACGTCTGTGGAAGCTTTGCTTCTTTGCGTGCAAGTTCTTTGCCTTAGCAGA